TATACCACACACAAAACTCAACTCAAAGTAGATTAAAGACTTAAATGTAAAACCTGAAACCACAAAACTCTTAGAAGAAAACACAGGGCGTAAGATCCTTGACATTGGTCTTGGCAATGATTTTTTGGATTTAAGACCAAAAGCAAATGCAACAAAAACAAAAATAAACAAGTGGGACTGTAGCAAACTAAAAAGCTTCTGCATAGCAAAGGAAATCATCAACAAAATGAAAAGGCTATCTATGGAATGGGAGAAAATATTTGCAAACCACATATCCAATAATGGTTTAATGTTCGAAATATGCAAGGAACTCATACAACTCAATAGTGAAAAAACAAATAACCCAATTAAAAAATGGGCAAAGGACCTGAATAGACATTCTTCCAAAGAAGACATACAAATGGCCAACAGGTACATGAAAAGGTGCTCATCATCACTAATCATCAGGGAAATGCAAATCAAAACCACAATGAGATATCACCTCACCTGTCTATTAGGATGTTTATATCAAAATGACAAGAGATAACAAATGATGATGAGGATGTGGAGCAAAGGGAACATTGGCACACTGTTGCTGGCAATGTAAACTGGTACAGCCACTACGGAAACCAGTATGAAGGTTCCTCAAGAAACTAAAAATCCAACTAACATGAGATCCAGTAATCCCACTTCTGTGTATATATATCCAAAGGAAACAAAATCACTATCTCAAAGAGATATCTGTACTCCCATGTTCATTGCAGCATTATTCACAATAGCCAAGATGTAGAAACCACTTGTGTCTATCAACAGATGAATGCATAAAGAAAATGTGACATACAGTTATATGCCCCATAACAACATTTTGATCAACCACAGACCACATATATGATGGTGGTCCCATAAGACTAGTACCATATAGCCTAGGTGTGTAGTAGCGTATACCATGTAGGTTTGTGTAAGTACACTCTATGATGTTCATATAACAATGAAATCACCTAACTATGCATTCCTCAAAATGTATTCCCGTCATTCTGTACCACATAACTGTATATATACATATGCATATATGTATACATACGCATATATATGTGTGTGTGTGTGCGTATATATATATATATACAGGGTATAGAAGGAATGTACCTCAGCATACATGACAAGCCCACAGCTAACATCGTACTCAACAGTAAAAAGCTGAAAGATCAAGAACAAGACAAGGATGCCCACTCTCACCACTTTTATCCAACATAACACTGGACGTCCTAGGCAGTGCAATTAGGCAAGTAGAAGAAATGAAAGGCATCCAAATAAGAAAGCCTTTATCACATCCATACATAAAATAGAATATTTTCAGCCTGAAAAAAAAGGAAATCTTGCCATTTGCGACAACATGGATGAACTTGGAGGGCATTTTGCTAACTGAAATAAGCCAAACAGAGAAAGACAATGCATGGTATCACTTACATGTGGAATCTAAAAAATAATTTAAAAATTTAAAAAGTCAAACTCATAGAAACAGAGATTATAATGGTGGTTGCCAAGGGCTGGGGGGTGGGGGAAGCAAGAAGAGGCTGGTAAAAGGGTATGAGCTTTTAGTTATAAGATGAATAAAGTCTAAAGATCTAACGCATAGCATGGTGACTATAGTTCATAATACTGTATTGTTTAATCAAAATTTGCCAAGAGAGTAGAACCTAAGTGTTCTAACCAAAAAAGGGGGGGTCAGGGGGAGGAAATACGTGAAATGATGGTGGAACTCAATGGTGGAAATCCTCTCATAATGTATGTGTATATCAAAATCAGCATGCTGTACACTTTAAATATATTACAATTTTATTTGTGAATTATACTGCAATAAAGCTGGGGGGGAGGGGTGGGTAGCAAACTGTGGGAAGGTAAACATATGAGGGGAAAGTAACGGAAGGTTCCGGTTGTTTTAGTGAGGTTTGTTGTGTAGATTCCTCTGGTAGCAGCTCCAGGCTGATAAGAGTCTAGAGTTGTCTCCAGTGATGAAGAATCCTCCTTCCCTTCCTGGTAAGAGGCAGAATGCAGAGCGTTTTTCCCGCGGATGCCTTTTCTTAATTGCCTTCAGCTCAAAATATGCCCTATGCCAAAGCGGCATGTTTTGGGGTAGCACACTCTGAACCCCTTCACAGGCACACTTCGTGACAAATGGTGCTTCTCCTCTGCTTCTTTTTTCAAATGTTTCATTTGAACCAGATTCTTTCGTTGCTTCATTTCATCTCTGATCCCATTTCAAGTTTCATCATTGAGATGAAATAAGGATGTCACAGCCCCAAAGTAACGTGTTGACCATTCTAAAATCTGCTCATCTGGCCTTTCAAGTCTTATTTGGTTATGCACTTATAAAGATGGGCAAAATCCCCCAAATTTTTCTGAAGATGAGCTTTTTTTTTTTCTTTTTAGACATTGGCACCTGAGCTAACAACAGTTGCCAATCTTCTTTTTTTTTTCTTCTTTTTCTCCCCAAAGCCCCCCAGTACACAGTTGTGTATTCTAGTTGTCAGTGCTTCCAGCTATGCTATGTGGGACGCTGCCCCAGCATGGCCCGATGAGTGGCGCCATGTCCAAGCCGAGGATGGGAACCAGTGAAACCCCGGGCTGCTGAAGCAGAGCGCGTGAACGCAACCACTCAGCCATGGGGCCGGCCCCTGAAGATGAGCTTTTTATCCATACATTCTAACACTTAGAGATTTTTCCCTGAGACATAATCCCAGTAATCATTTAAATAAATTCCAGAATCCAAGATTAAGGCAAATGGAAAATAAATACAACAATTTCAAAAATATCCATACCCAATAATTCGACTCCCTGGGAATCACTCCTCAGGAGACAATGCAAAATAAAGGCAAAGATGACAAAACTATACTCTGCAACATTATTCATAACAGTGAGCACTTGAAAACAAACAAAATATTTAAAAATATTTGCCTGATTAATAACTTTAGTGCTTTCATTTACTGGACTCATACCGCCATTAAAAATTCTATTTATGAAATATATTTGTTGGTACGGAGATATATTTATGATAGATGTTAAAAGAAAAGTCACAAAACTACAATAACATCTTAACTATGTAAAATCAAGTACATTATATTTTTTGAGGGATCCATCTGGCTGACATAAACACTCAAATCGGCTTAAGCAAAAAAAGCAGGGGCACAAGGAGTCTCCAGACACCAGGTGGCAAGTGGAGAGCTCCCAGGAACCAGGGCAGTACTCTCTCCTGCCCCCTGGGGTCCCAAGCTCTCCAATTCTCTCTTGATTAGTTCCTTCATCACTTTCTCCACCCATCAGCTTTTTCTCCTCTGCTGCATGGGACCCAAACAGGACCTCCCAGTTAAAACAGTTGAGGCTGGCTAGAATCTCTGTAACGCTATTCCAAATTTCTTGGACATAGAACTGAATTGGCCCAGCTTGGGTGGGCAAGACCACTTGTTGTCCAGTTGGATATAGTTAGAGGGGCAGGGCTCATTCCGTCCTGCTTGCTACAGGGGTGTAGCCCAGTAGGTGCATTATTGGGGGCAGCGTGAAAGGAAAGGGCAGTGGGCCAGGCAGACACCTGAAAGGTAGCCGACTGTTATTGTCATAGAAGGAAGGAAAGACACCACATCTTTAACAATATTTATCACTGAATGACCGGATCGCGGTGGTCTTTATCTTATGTAAGTCATTTTACGTTTTACAAACTTTCTCTAACACTGTGTATTTTTAGAATCAGGAGAAAAGCAGGTTTAGTTTTGTTTTTTAATATATAACATGTTTTGAGTCCTGTCCCTATTATGCGTCAGCTTGTTGGGTGTGGGCGGTGCCAAGTTGAATGATTAATGAAGATTCTCTGTCCTCAACCAGCCTGCCTCCTTGTACCAATTGTCCCTTCCTTGTGCCCATACTTACCTTGCCAAGACCTTGTGGGATTCTGAATGTTTCCACACCACTGTCATGGCATTATATAACCCTGAGCTCCAATAACAACCATAGTCCATACTAGGTGATTTAGTTATTGATTATATGCATTTGTCAATTCTTAAATTGCTTCAAATGAATATATCTCATCTTCCCAAAAAAGACTGTAAGTTTTTTTAAAAAAAGAATAACCGTTCTTAGTATTTCTTTAATGCCCCTTCAGTTGACTAGACTGGTGAATGTTATGCGCAACAAATATTAGTTTGCTAGTTAAAATTCACTTTGAGTCACAAAGGAACTACTTTCCCATAACCACACTTCATTTGGCTCTCAAGGATCTGTTTGCCCAATATTTAAATGGCCAGTTCTTCCCTTACTTTTTTTTGAAATTAACTTCAATTCCTCTTTCGCCATTCACACTTCCTTCATCTTCACATTTCAACCAGCCAGCACTCACGGTTTCAAGATCACAAGTATGGTCATAAATGTCTGTTTCAGTTAAGAATCTGGATAGAGTGGAAAATCATTTTTAACCGTTTCTTCTTTCATATACATAGGAAATTATATCCCTAAAATTGTGACATTCGGTCTTTAAATGAGTTTTTGTGGCTTCTTCTATGGCTGGGGTTGGATTCTGTTTTTAAAGTTTTTTCAGTGGTTCTATTTGAATACCATCTTTGAATCTCATAGGAGAGGTAACATGGTATAGCCTGAAGGCAGAAAGACCAGAGTTTGGATCTCAGGTCAACTGATAGGGACCGTTAGCAAGATACTTTACCTCTCTGAGCCTCAGTTTCCTCATCTGTAAAATGGGGATCATAACACTTGCCTCTCACTGTTGTTAAGATTAAACATGTGAGCAATATCTGTCACATATGAAGCAGTCAGTAAACGTTCGTTAAACTGATGAAATGGAAAGAAAGTAAAGAACTATCAGGAAAACACCCACATAATTGTCCCTAAGGGCAGTGAGACTCCTTGATAAATGATACAGAACTCCTTTTAGAGTTAAATTACATGGGCAAAGGTCAGTCCTTCCCCCAGTAAAAAGCCAGGGGCGGGGCTTAACAAGGAAGTGGTAATCCTTTCCTCAGCCTCAGTCCCAAACCTGAAGAGGCTACATCTGGATGTAGTCTTACATTGAACGAGCCTTCCTCAATGAGAAGCCAAGAAGACGTGGTGAAAGTTACCTCTTAAGTTTTCGTGGAGAGAGACTCAAATACAGAAATATCCCTCCTGACCTGATCCTTACCCGAGCTGCAGCCGGAGAAGCCACTGACAGCTTCGAGACCAGGTAACACCAGGAGGCACTGGTCTTCATTCTCAGCTGCCCAGGAGGACACAGTGTGTCTTGAGTCCTGGCTTTACTAATGAGGTGACCTAACTGGGGGAGACCTTTACTGAGTTTATTAAGTTCCTATTATGTAAGTCTCAGGAAGTAAAACAGGTTTCAAGGAAAGAGAAAGAAAGCTATTTAAGTTTCTCTTTTGCTACAGAAGGTTTGGGATGGTTAAGAATATATAAGTGGATGAAACATTTGTAACATTAAGCAGTCCCCTTCAGTGAGTATGTGACAAGGCATGTGATGACATGACAGCTGGTCAGTGGCAGGAGCCCATGGAGATGCTGACTCCCTCCCCTAGAGTAGGGATGGGGCTGAGGGTGGGAATCCCTGGGTTTGAGCCCAGAGTCTTGAGCTGTAGGAACTGTAGGAACTCAGGCACAAGGTCCAGTCCTGGCAGACCCCCGAGAGACTTCCTTGAGTACAAGCCCCGGATAAAAAGGGAAATTCCTCTCCCTCCTTTCTACAAAACTCCCTCCACTCTTGAGTTCCCTGCCCCCTTGTTCTTCACTCAGAGTCTTAGTCCTTTGTTACTTAATATGACCTAAGGCTCTGTCTCTCAGTTTAGATTCTACTGTAGGAAGTTAAGACGTTTTACCTCATACCTCACTTCACCCTTAGGATTAAAGAACCTGTCATGCTCAGAGATGACACACAGGGGAGAAAGAAGGAGACGCTCAAAGTTCTGAAGTTCGGGGGAGGAAAGAATAGGGCAGCCTCTGATGGGCATAAGGGGACACAGGGTGCTGAGGGGCAGGCTCAAGGCAACCAGACAAAATTTAGCTCAAAAGGTGTCCTGGGAACCTCCCTGGGGATGAGCATCTACACCCCTGAATTACACTCGGGCCTCGTCTATGCATCCAGGGCAATGGAAGTCAGCTCTTTGGCTGAGCCTGTTGCCAAGGGCTCCTCCACGCCCCTCACACCCGGGACAGGCCCTGCAAGGGGAACCTAGTGTGAGTTCTGTCCAGCTTACCCCGGCAACCTGTGGCAGCCTCTGTGAGTGGAACCACAGAGCACATGCTCGTGTTGTGTCCTCTGTGTGCTTATCCATTATCTGCCATGGGAAGGGAAGTGCAATCTAACCTCCACAAATGAAGCCAGGGCTAGAAAAATCCCCAAAGGGGTCTGGCCACAGCAGGAGTTTAGGCGCCGGTGGCCTTCTCAGGACAGCTGCTCCTCAGGACAGCTGCGGAGGCTGGGAGGACCTTGGCCATCCAGGGGGCTGGAGGGAAAGCACTCGGGGAAGGAAAAGAGGCCAATGAAAGAAGGCCTGTGACCTTGCGTTGGAGTGTAGGTTTGCCCTGGTTTGTTCTAGATAAGGAGAGGGTATGTAAATACACAGGAGAAGGGAGGGCTGTGTCCACTGAGTCACTGAATTAGAACGAGCTCGCAGGTCTCATTCCGGAGCCCATTCGCCCTCCAGGCCCTGAACCAACACCCAGGGCCCCCACCCAGGGCTTCCTGTCCAGAAACATAAACATAAAATTGACATGGAAGTGCCCATAAACCCCAAAGTTGGGCTTTTACTTTCGACAGGTGTGCCACACGAGCTCACACAGCTCTGAGACAAGGCTTGTCTCCACAGGGACCACAGCACGCCCCTGACCCACGACGAGCATGCGCAGGGGGACGACGCTGCACCTGTTCACTATGTTTCAGCATCTGAGCTAACACTGTCGCTTGAGCACTGCTGTGCTTGTGTGGCCCTCTCCTCCTTGGCTGGCCTGTCAGCTGGGCCAAGTACCCAGTGCCTGTAACCCAACAGAAATCTCTTCTCTCACCAAATGGAAGGCCTGTGTGCTCCATCTTGACCTCAATGGTTTCCCCCCTTTTCTGATGTTGCTCCTGAATCGGCATTTAGCAAACTTGTTTCTTAAAGAAGTCAGACCCTCCCTCCCTCCAACACCACTACACATACAAGCAGGCACGCATGCGCGTGCACACACACACACACACACACACACACACACAATTTTACAGTCCGCATACTACATTAGAAAGGTTTTGTTTATTTGTTCTTTAACTTACATGGAGGTTTCTTCAGAAGCATAGTATTATGGCTTGAGGAGAGGGCCCACCCTCCTACCCCAAGGACATACTTCCTGTCGGCCGTGCACTTCCTGCCTACAGCGTCCTGAGCTGCCCAATTTGAAAGGAAGCTTTGACTATACAACCTCGTAAATCCTCTCCTGACACAGTCCAGCTCTGGCGTCCTCCTGGCTCAGCCCCTTCAACGCCAAGTCCACTGCCTAGAGTTTGGACCACATAAGCTGCCCTCTCCTCACTCTTTCTGGCTCATTCTCTTGCTTGTCTCAGGTTGCTCAGTCTTGATTCTTGGTCCATTTTACTCGCTTACATGTACCTCAGCTCTCAATATTTCTCAGCAACATCTTTCCTTCACAGGGTAACCAGATTTGCATAAAAACACAAGACACCCAGTTAAATGTGAATTTCAGATAAACTACAAATACTTTTTTGGTATAAGTATGTCCCATACAATGTTGGGAGATACTTATACTAAAAAATTACCTGTTGTTGACCTGAAACTCGAATTTGACTGGACACGCTGCTTTTTACCTGGAAGCTCTATCATCACTTTTCATTCATTCATCAGATATTTGTGGAGAACTTACCACATGTCAGGCATTATGCTAGGTGCTGGGAAAGCTGGTCCCAGCTTCTGGGAGAAGACTGGGAGAGAAGTTCCAGTCTTCATGTCTTACAGGATATAAACTTTCTATACACACAATATATATATATATAGGACTATAGGAAAGTAGAGGAAAAGAGTATGGATTTTGTGCTAAACCTAATATTTGCATGTCACTAGTTTCCTTAATTGCTGCATTTGAGCTTGCTTCTATAAACATATTAAAATTTATAGAAAAGGCACCCTATAAAAATAATATAATTTTAGCGAATAATGACACCAATATTTCTTGAGCATTTGTCATCGACTACGCCCTATTTTAAGTGCTTTACATATACTAATTCTTTATACTAATTCTTTTTATCCGCATACCATCTTGATGACGCAGGGGAGTTTTTCATCCCCATTTTACAGATGGGAAAGTGGAGGCACTAATAAATTAAGAAATATGCTCGGGTGCACAGCTAGTAAGCAGATGACCCAGGATTTGAACTAGGTCATCTGAATCAAGAGACCAGCGCGTTAACCACTACTCTGTACAGACTGATGCTTGTATTATTATTTATGGTTTATGAAGGATTTTCACAGTTTGTTATTTAATCCTCCTATATAGTCAGCAAGTTGGATAATATGAATCACATTTTATAAATGGAAAAACTACACCTCACAGAGGTTAAGTGATTTGCCTGAGTTCCTTTACCACTAAGTATGAAAAGCAATTCTTCAACCTATCTTTTCATTCCAAATGTTGCGCTCACCCCAATAGACCATCCGAAAACTCCTTGGAGCTCTTCTAGAACAGTGTTGCCCTAAGTGGGTCTCATAAATATTATTTTAAATCAAATACTTGTTCAAACGCTTCAATCAAGCTCTAGTCTAAATGCTTTACAAATATTAACTCATTTCATCTTCCTAACTCGTTTCATCTTCATAAGAGTGTGAAATAGGTACCGTTTTAAACATGAGGGAAGTGAAGCATAGAGAGAGACGTCACATCACTGCTAGTGGTAGAGTCAGGATTTGAACCCAGACAATCTCAGAATAGGAAAAAATTCCACAAGTCATTGTCCAGTGCGTTTTTGTATCAGGCATAATTGTTGTCACTGGGCATACAGCACAGAAAAAACAGCACACAAACATGCCTGTCTTTGTGGTACTTATATCTAGATAAACCGGAAGACCTGGCAGAAGATCCCCATGGCGTGTGACTTAACCCAGCACCGAGAGAGGGGTGAACTGCTCACCTGAGAGGATGCGTGTGGGGGAGGGTGGGAAGGGGGAGGCAGAAGGGTGGAAAAGATGGGAGGAGCACATGCTTTGCACAGATGTTGAAGTAACTCCTGACAGCGAAAGGTTGGCCATGGTGCATAGTGAGTGTGAAACTGGGAGAAGATGAGGGAAGGACTGTCGAAACCAAAGCCCTGGAACAGGACAAGAATGTGAACAGACAGAAGGGAGGAGGAAGCCTGGTGGTCATGCCCCGACTTTGCACCACAGCCCTCAAGCATTTGCTTATATTCAGTTACCTGAGCCGGGTTTGTGGGGCTTAGGAATCGTGTGAATGTGTCTGTGTGTGTAGTAGCCGTCTCAGGTTTTGCAACTCTGCCCTTGGCCACCCTGGGAAATCCATTTCTGTCCCCTCCATCTGCACCTGACGTCCTGGCATAGCCCGCTGCAGTCCCCTCCCGAACTCACCCAGCCAGGGCCCATGGCTTTCTCAGGGCCTCGCCAAGGAGCAGTTCTGCAGAGGAACAGCTTCTGTATCAGCCAGTGTGAACATCTTCCAAATAAAGGAGAGGAAACAAGGATGGAAACGGGAAGCATCCGGCAGGCTGGCAGGGGAGCTACTTCAGCCCCCACGCCTCCTTCAAATCGAATCGGAGGGCGAAGTTAGAGACAATCCAATGTGGAAACCGAGGACCAAGGGGGTTAAGTGACTGCCCAAGGACATTGCAAGTTAGAAGCTGAGCCAGCCCTGACCATCGGCCTCCAGACACCCAATCCAATTTAGCTGTACCTGTCACACTGCCTCCAGCCCTGTCTGCAGTCAGTGTCCCATCTTTGGGATGAGAGGGTACAGTGGAGAGAAAAGAAGGGATATGCCAGTCAATCCCATTAGTATCACTATACCTCACTTTATCACACCAGCTCACATGCCAAAAGACAGTCTTAAAGTAGGACAGTTAAGAGAAGGGAACACGATTAAGAGCCACATCCAGGACAGAGTCAGAGGGCCTGGGATGACAGTTGTACTAGAAAAAACATAATAGCTACCACTTTTGAGCTAGGTTCTGGATTGGGACTTCTAATGCATTATCTTGTACCTTCACAGTATTCCTGTAATACAACTATTATTATTTTCAATTTACCTATAGGAAGCTTAAGTTCAGAGAGGTGAAGTAACCTACCCCAGGTCACACAGCTCTAGTCAGTGGTATGGCCAGAATTTGAACTCAGGACTGTTAGACTGAGATGCCCAGCCTGTTTTCCAGTCCACCCACTGCCTATGAAATTTTAATCCAACAAGAGTTGGTCGATCTGGGCTTTCTGGCATCTGGGACGAAAAGGAAAATGTAGTCCTTAACACACAACAGAAGAAAGCAAAGTAAAACATTAACCAAAAAGAAATGATTTCCTAGCTGGAAACCAGAAAAACAGTTACATCATGAAAGCTTAAACCGAGCAAAATCGGTTTATTACGTCTATCTGGTTATTCATATGAAAATAAAGATGAAACCCCTCCATCCCTGTCATCTTAGTGCTGGTATCAATCTTTCTAAAACACGTCTGTGATCACATCACTCTCCACCCAAAACTTCGAAAAGCTCTCCGTTGCCTCCACCAGTGCCCTTCAAACTTGTAAAAAATAGCAGGATTTTTTTCATATGAAATCTCACATGGAATGCCAAATACGGCAAGAAACAGAAGCAAACCTCTACAAGCTAAAGCAGAGGGTAAAGAAAGGAGAGAGGATAGAAGGACCAGGGACCCCAGACACTGCCCTCTCCCTAAGTGGCCTCCCCCTTTGCCCACTTACTTCTCCCAAGAAGACTTTTAACCGCCCTCCACGGTCTAGGCTCCTTTTGAAATGTACTGATCAATCAACATGAGAAATTGCAAAGCTTTCAGCCCAACATTCAAAGGCCCCCCTAATGGGGCCCCGAATGCCATTTCACTCATTGTCCCTCCGCATCCTTGAGCCCCAGCTATCCACAGCCACATGCTTATTCTATACAGTTCTCTCACCACTCTTCAAACACATCCTCAGTTCACCCATGGTCTACCCTCTGCCCATCCTGTTCTTAGCCCAATATCCATCCACCGGTCTAAACCCTTTGTATCTTTCAAGGAGCCTTCATTCACCCTATCGGTAGCTCTCCATTCCTCCTCCAGCTCCCACATGGGCTGCCTGCAACTCTGTTCCAGCTCCTAGCTCACTCTCTGTTTGGAGTTATCTATGTGCATGCCTCTCTTCCTCATCTCTTTAAGATGGGACTTTCAGAAAGAACCCTGGCTTTTCCATCTCTGATTACCCCCTGCCTCTGAGCACAAACAGAATAGGTGCTCAATAAATGCTTATTGAGTTTTACCTCTGTCTCTCCCAACCTACAAAGAGCAGATTGCCCACAGGTAGAAGGATGCATGTGGACTTTGTTGTTGCAGGCCCGCCATGTGCACCACCAGTGCATGTGACCTGGAGGAGATCCCCCTGGATGATGATGACCCAAACAGCATAGAATTCAAAATCTTGGCGTTCTATGTCAAACAACATGTCTTCAAGAACACCTCTACTGTCATCTCACCAAAGCCGCTGAGAACAAGAAGTTTGTCCCAGAAAGTAGTGGCGAGTTGTTCAGAAAACGATTCATGGACACAGGTGCCGTGGCCTTGCAGAAATTCCAAATCCAGTGAGAAGACTATAAACCTTGCCAAGAAAAAGTCTTCTTGGAGAACACTCTTTGGAGTCATAGAGAAGGGGGAAGATGCACAGAGCTCACCTACAGAGGTCTACGCTCAGGGTAGAGGAGTAGCGGAATATCAGGGTCCTCGCAGTCGGCAGTCATCGAGGTCCCTTTCTAATGTGGAACAGTCCTCAGAGAACGAAGGTAAGCTTTTGAGAATTCCTTCCGTCCCACAACCGAATCTTTCTCTCCTCTGTGTGCATGTTCATCTCCTCCCAGCTAGTAATGTGGCCTTAGGCAGGCACTCATTGTGCCTCAGTCTCCCAACTTATAAAAATTCAATAATAATTGCCCTACATTTCTCAAGACTGAGTAGAAAAGAAGAGGATGGCAGTGAAGTGTGACTGGACTGGTTTTCTCGCTCCATGGTCTATAAATAATCTTGCTGCCCAAATTCCCAATCCTCTGTGCCAGAGACCAATCTAAAGGAGAGTCCCAGACAGGGGCTCAGGCTGCCACTCTTCCTAAGGTAAGTCAACTCACGTCTCTGGGCCTCTGTGTTTCCATCTGTATACTGGAACATCCCTCCCGCCTCTTACGGTGGATGGAAATATCAGGTAGCTGTATACAAAAATACTTTTCAAAGTATAAACCACTCTAAAAAAAAGAACTGAGAAGCATTTTGACAAAAATCTTCCCTCAGTGAGACAACATACTTATGTTGAATAAAAGATTTTCACAAAAGGCTTTATCATGGAGCATGGCCCTTCATCCACAGACCTTGGCATAAGCATCTTCTTCCCCTACAACAATGCCCCGTGCCCAAAGCCCAGTGCCCGATGCCCAGATTTTAAAAGAAACCCCCCCCTCCTGCTGGGCTGATTGGACTGTGTAACTTGTCAGTAATTAGTCAACAGGTGGCAGTAATGTCTCAATTTTAAATGCTGTGACTGACGTGGACAACTTTAGATCATTCACTATGATCAAGGAAACTTCCATGTCCCATTCGACAGAGAATTTGGGACAGGAGAAGTTAGGGTCGGATTATCTGGGGCGCTCCTCCTCCCCGCAGTGGTACAGCAGACTCCTTCTGCTGGGGGTGGTGGCTGAGCTCTGGAGCAAACAACAGTTTGGAGGCACCTAAATAGGCTTTTCTGCTTGGCCTGGTCTCTGGACTTTGCCAGGAGACAGAGGACGATTTTACAGACTCTCGTCTTCTAGCTTTCCTGAAATAAATGATATTCTGTATTTCAATATTATGGAAGTATCATTTGACCTTTTTTATTTTCTAAAACTTCACAAGCTCTATATAGATATACAGATATCCCTAAAAAAGTAGAAATTATTACTTCCTAAGGAGGCTTAGCTTTAAACATTTATGTACAGAGCATCCTCTCTTCCCACGTTTCTCTTTCCTCTCTTTCTTGTTAACTATCTGGGTGGTTAGCAGGTTTCATGTCAGATGTGACTCATGAGAGCCTTGCATTCTATTTCTATTTTGCCACATAGAAATCAGAGCTCAGCAGGTGGCTTCACCTGGGTTCTTTTAACTAAAGGTCACAATTTAGCCTGAGCTGCCATTTCCAGGACTCAGACACCAGGCTAAGTGAGAACTATGAGGTTATGTCCCAGGATGAAAATTTAGTAGCGAGAGGCCTTAAAAGTAGAAAAATGAACATCGACGCCAAATTTAGAAACTATCAACCCAAGTTCTTTTACTCTTGAATCTTGGTTTCCCCACAGTTATGATTCGCTACATGTGGAATGTTGCAGTTAAGATTAGGTTCAGCAACATATAGTGGAAAACTCAAATAACTGTGGCTTAAATAATAAAGAGAGACCATAAAAGAAGACCAAAGTTGGGTAGCCCAGGCCTGATATGGCAGCTTCCCAGTCATTAGAGATTCTTATTCTGTCCTTCCTTAGCTAGTGGCTTCCAACCTTATATTCCTTATATTCCAAAGTAACTGCTGGGACTCCAGCCATCATGTCTACATTTCAAAGAAGAAGAAAGAGGAAGCAAAGGAAGAACAAAAGGGTGTCTCCTTTCTAGATAATTCAGCTCTCTTTTAGAGAGCATTCTTAAAACTGCACCCAACTTTTCACATCTCATTGGTCACGCCCTACTGCAAGGGAGGCTGGGAAATGTAGTTTTTTCAGCTGGATCCATTGTTACTTCTGACACTTCAGGGGTCTGTTACTAAGAAAGGAGGAAATGGAAATTGTATGGGAAATAGTCTCAACTATATGGAAATCTCTCCCAAACTCCCTGCCCCATCCCTTTAAAACAAATGCCTCAGGCCAAAGGCTGACTGGCACCTTCCCAACCCTGCTCTGCTTTTCTTCTTGGCCCCACAGTGACCCCCTAAAATAGACTTGAAAGGATGGGCAGTCTTTCTGTTCTCTCCCCAACCCCATCCAATCTTCCTTTGCCTATCAGATGGGACCAACTCTGACGAGAAGGGAAAATTAAGGTATTCAAGATGGGAATCTTGACTAGAACTAGCTCATCTGAGTCAAAACGTGTTTGCTTTTAGTTTTTCCTGCACGTATTTCATCTGCATCCGTCCTTCCATGCCCACCAATTCATAGAAAATGAACCACCGTACACAGGTTAGTCAGATTGGGTACTTCTGAGCCTGCTAGTGGTCTTGTGATTGCCCTGCCACATGGTGGGGGCTGGAGGGTGAGGATGAGGGAGCTTGGGGGCCATCGTCTGCCTCCTTTAAGTGCAAGATGGGCACACTGTGACTTCCAGTGGAAGAGCCATGCGCTGGTCACCCTAGACAGGCTGCACAAGGCCTGAGAGGTAGAAAATGTAAGCGTTCCTTTCCCATCTCCTGCGGACACAAGGGAAGGCTCCCACTGGCTTTGGGCTCCAGCCTCTTGCCCTTTCCTTGCCAGGGGCCATGGATGGCCAGCATTCAAGAGGAGGCTGGTTGGGCTGCAATAAGGTGATTTAAGAGTGGAAAGCATATTTGGTTTGGTTGTTAAAATGGGAAGGAACAGCATTGATCCCTGTCTCCTTGACCTGTCCAATTTTTCTCTCTGTAATTCACTTGTGTTTTTGAACCCTATGGACGGAGCATGAGAAATATGGCTTTTTAAGGAAGCCATAGTGTCTTTTTTTAAAGGAAGGCGTATGGACACAGCATTAGTTCCCATGGCCTTTCAGTGAATGCCCCGAGGGATGAAGGGCGAGCACCAAAGCTTTCGTGCTATGGAAGAATCCAGGGAAAGAGGACCAGAAATCACCTTGGCAGCTCCACAGATGTCAAAACCTGCTTTTCACGTGACACAATCCCTCCCGGGACCCAGGCCTTGCCCCTCTCATCTATCCTGTTTTACAAAGCCCAGGACTTCCCCCTGGCACCCCCACCCTTCCAGCCAAAACCCCGCTCTGTCACTTTCTTCAAGTCTTGTGAATTAAATAGTGTTGTTTTTCAAACATTACATGATATGACTGCCCCATAGGGTATCAAAGCCAGTGTTTGTACCAGCTTCTGAAAGTTAACAACTTAATGACAAAATGACAATGCAAATTTTACTCCTGAACAACTCAGCGACACTGCCTGCCCTCTCCACTCATCCCTGACCAGGGGCAAAGCTGACATCTTTCACAGGCTATGACAGTCATTGGGCCAATACCATTTAAACCTTTATGTCCCAAAATACCTTATTCTATAGTTAGTTGTGCAAATAAGTGACTATAAATTCTGAACTATAAATTCTTGAAGGCCATGGGTTGCACTCTATGCATCCTTGTGGACCTATCAGCTTTAATTGGATGTTTCCCAGTAGACATTGAGGAGAGAGAAGACATGTGACCATACGAGCTAGGGGAGTTCCGAGTTTACTTGACAATGGGCTTGAGTAATGAACATGGCCTGAGAGCAGACATATTTCTCTTTCCTCAGTGACCAACCCCCAAAGGCTTGTCAACTACTGAATGCCTTCCTATGCACATAAGGGCCAGCTCTCCAAGATATAAAGGATGTCTAAGAAAAAAAAGAATAAAAATAAAAGCATAATGAGCATTCCCTCAAGCAAAGAACTAAGCACTCCCTTTTGTGTTTCCTCCTTTGCAAAGGGGAAAGGGGACCCTAATTTTGCAAGACTTCAAAAAGAGGGTGCAGAAGGGCAATTGTTTCAAGGTGGCAATCATTCCTCTGTGTATCCCCCACCCTTCCCAGCCTCTGCCAGGCAACTGCCAGTGCTTTGTGAAGAATGGGCCTCCCGCCTCCACACACTCCCAGGCAGTTTCCTCTCACTCTGGGCTGGTCTTTTCATTTCCGGCAACTGTGCATACCAATGAGCTAGACAAGGTTCTTCTGAGAGGGGCCTCTCAGCATCATTTTGTCTTGTTTCAGCTGTGGATCCCAAAGTTGTCTCCATTGCCAACCGAGTTGCTGAAATTGTTTATTCCTGGCCGCCTCCAGAAGAACCCCGGAAGAATGGAAGACGCGCCAAGCTTGACGGGTCTATTAAACTGGGTTACCCCCCTCAGCCCGAGTGCTCCCAGTCTACAGCTGCAAGCGCCAAGAAAGGTAAACTTCCCTTCTGAGTGTTCGTGTGGGGTTGGATGTTTGCCAGGCAGAGGTATATGAGCATTTATGGATTTATTTAGCTCAGGGCTCTGCAACTGGAGAATCTCTGCTGACCCGGACCAAGGGCATGACAGCAACGTGCTGGAGGCAGTGGCCTCTAGTTTAAGAGACCAGCCCAAGCTCAGGTGTGTGTGCCAGGAGATTGAAGCAACATACCCAGCTCACCACTAAGTCCAAAGAAAAGTCTCCCGCTGAGGGAGAGGGGCAAGTACAGAGCATGCACTCAACCTTGTCCACAGGGGGAAATGCAGTATTAGATGTGACCATGGTAGCAATGGCCAAGGACCAGTTTGCTCATGGGAGTACTTGGGGTGTAGATGGAATGTCCACCCAGAGATTTGTAATTTAATATTGCCTTGTGTTCCTGTGAAAAAGAAGCGGGTTGTCAGACACCAGGTCTGGTGCAGAATATGAAGCAGAACTGAGAAGTAGTGACCCAACTGGGTCAGTTGTCACCAAAACAGTAGCAATAGCTAGGACTGTAGATCCCATCAGACTGGCAGGACTTCCGGAGCTGAGGGGAACAGGACCAAGTGCCACAGGAAGAGAATTTCAGTCCCAAATCTCTCACTAACCATGGCCCTCGCTCATGGCTCTTTCCTCAAATTCCAGTGGAGGATGAGGAGCAAAGGTGACATATCACATGACATGTCACAAAGGTGGCATGCTGGTTGGCAGCATGCCAAAGCACAAGGCAAAAGTCCTCCCTCCAAAGGTATTGCTGTCTCCCAAACCCGGAAGCAGAGTGGTGGGTCTGTCCACCCGGTGCTGTACTATTGGAACCACAAACTATGCCAGGGCCTAGAGAGAGGAGCCAGAGGAGAGGAGAGCCCTCTGAGTCTGAGAAAAACAAAGCATCTCCACTTATCGCCATCTCATGTGTGCTGGGCAAGGTGAAGCAACACCCCAAACCAAGCTAAAGCTAAGACTCTCATCCTCTGTGCATGTGAGAAATTCGGGCCACTCTTACAGCAACGTTCCCAGACAGGGGCAGCAGCAGGTAAAATCTACACATGGGCGATGGAAACACACATTCTTTCTTCTCCCAGGTGACTTCAGTCTCAGACTTCCCACCTACCTCTTACCTTGCCCTTCAAGAGACCTTCTTGGGACGTGATGTGCTGGATTAATTTCCTGGCACCTCTTTCCCTCTTACCTGGGACAAACATGAGGACTCAGTGACTTCAGAGATTGTGCCAACAGCAAAAAAGTGCTGTTCTCTCTGTAACTGGCTTTTCTGTTTGGATTCTGTTCTATAGCAATGACCATTTTCATCAAATTTAGTTGTTAGCATGTTTTCAGACAAGAACAATCATACGCCACCTCCCCCATTCCACTGCACACACAACACACCAACTGTGGCCATCTTTCTATCTGCCGTGTTAGGCTTTCAAGTGGAAGAACTTCCAAATTTTATTTACTTATACCCCACCTTGTTGTAAAGACACGGCATACAAAGTATAAATTTTAAGATAAGGTTTCGATAAAATAAATCAAGTTTGAAAGATAATGTAAAAAGAAAATAGCAGGAAAATGGAATGAGTTTAGTTTCAAAACTGCAGGCCAGGAAGACAGTACTGCCTCCTAGATAGGACCACAAATTTGTCTCTACACCTTCTAGCAGCTAGCACAAGGGGGAACATGATCAAATAGGAGATTTACGGTGTCCATATGGAAAAGCACCCTCTGTTCAGGAGAAGCCTAAAGACCAGAGAGATACTTCTCCTAAATATCTTTAAAGATAGGATCATATGTAGTGCAACTCACATCAACAAAATTCTTACAGCAAATGTAATGATGAATTTCATGGTGAGAATTGGGGGGCTGAGAGAAAAAAGGAGAAAAAAAGGAAAGAGGGCACTGTAGGAGAGGGTGTGTGGAAGGGTTTGTGCCTGAACAAAGAGGTGAGGCAAAATTTAATTTGCTAAGAATTACAAAGCAAGCACACTTCTTCCTAATATCTAACCAGACAAGCATTGTTACTGGAAAAATTTAAGATTTTTTTTTCCTTAAAAGAAATAACTGGAATTTTCCCCTGACAGATGAAGAAGACCAAAACATAGCCAAAATCGTTGAGCTGCTGAAATATTCAGGGGATCAGTTGCAAAGAGAGGTAGGGAGCTTCTTGAACAAATGTGATTTCTTTCTGCGCCCGCACACTGGGACATGAGAACAGAATTGTACCCCAGGTTGTATGCCTTTTCAAAGTTCTGGTTTCCACTTAGTCCTAAATTTTATTTCCCTTGGAGTGAAAATTCTTCATGCTGGCAGCATCTCAAAAATGAATCACTTTGGAAAACATAAGTAAACCTTCTGGAGCCTCCTTGGAATTTTTGGAAATGAAAAAAGTAACTTTGTTATTGCAAGAAAAGACACCAATATAAATTAAAACTTGCTGAATAGAATTATTAATCTAGTTCCCCGTGTAACTGATCCTCAGGGAAGTTTAGACTCTCGCATTTGCCCTGCAGCCTGGATATCTGTGTCCCGCAGCTGCTCAAGGCTGGCGTCCTTACTGAAACCTCTCCCTAGAATGTCTGGACTGTTCTTAGCAATTCAGCCAGGGAGGAGGGTTAGCGTCACTTGGAGAACTTTGGATTTCCTGCCATTTAGAAGTGGAGACCCACCATTCCGATAGGGAACACGTGAGAGTTGCCTTCAGATAGAGTTGGTGAGCGGGCCCCCACTAGAGTCGGAAGAGCTTCTGAACACAATCTCTTCCGCGTCCACCACCCGCAGACTGCTGAGTAGTCTCCTGGGCTGGCCTGTGGACCCATTCCCTTGTTTTGCCAGGGTCCATGGGGAAGAAGTCAGGCCCTCTGGGGCTTCTGCAGGAGGGGGAAACAGCACTAACTGACCAGCATCCCTACCCTAATAACAGCATGCTCAGCGGCTCCTCTCTCAATGCCTTTGTCAGAGGTGCGCCCTGAGGATGGTGCAGGAGGGTGAAGGTCATGGGAGATGGTGCCGAATGAGAAATAGTGAGAAAACTGGGGATATCAGACTAAAGAAAAGAGAAGGGGGTGTGTGAGCTTTGGGGCCATAAGTAAAGGATGGATAGGGGCGCAGAGGAAGCAGAAAATAGAACATGGTGCATGATTTAAGGACACCCTGTGTTTCCCCAGAACTAACATCAATGGGTAAGAGTTATGGGGCAATTGATTTCTCCCCATTTTAAGAATGAACTTTCTAGCACTTAGGGCTGCCTATCAAAGCCAAGGGCTGCCTTGTGAAGGAATGATCTTCCTGTCACTAGAAGAATTTCAAGTAGAGGCCAATAACCAGCCAGCAGTTCAGTACATGAACTGCAAGGGATCCCTTAGATATCCTCGAGGATTTTTTACATCTCGAAGGTTCTATGGCTCTTGGGACAACCTCCTTCCTGGCCTTCCTAAGCAGTGACTTGCAGTAGGTCAGGGAGCCCAGGGATGGGAGGAGGTATGAAGGTGACTCCTCCAGTGATGAAGAGAGATGCTTTCATTTTCACCCCACAAATTACCATTTTAAAAAACCTCACTATGCCTGAGGCACTCTCTTGATGATTTGGGGCAATACTTTCCATTATTTATGTGGAAAGCGTGGTTTTTGTTCCCTTTATGTGGTTCCCCAGTAAAGGACTGTGGTAGGAACACCGAAGGTCTGACTTGTGCTGTGTGGGTGTGAGTTCCCACTAGAGTGGGACAGTGACATGGGGAGGGGCCCCACCATGGCCACAGAGGTGAACAAAGCTGCCCATCCCTGAGAGCACATGTGGGCTCACCCTGCACCTCCGTGAGAGGTCAAAGAGCAGGTGCAACCAAAGCGGGCAGGGGTACTCTGTGGAAGGCGTTTCTTCCTGGCGTTTGATTCTTTCACTGTTCTGGCAGAGTGCAGGCTTCCAGCCACCCACTGAGGTTTTGAGTCTAACTTCTTCAACTGGTCACTGATTAGGAGCAGCCCATTCTTGGTGTGGAGGACGCTGGTCATTCCTGCTTCAGATTGATAATTCCCATAGGCCCCTGCACCTCCCAGAAGTTGGGGGGTGAGCTGGGCTCATAAAATAACACCACTCCACCAAAATCTTTACATAGCATCTGACTCATCCGCAGAATATCCCTTTTAGAAAGAATATTTGTTGCAAATCTGCTCAGCACATCATTCCTCAAGGACAGAACTAGAGGATTTTCAAACATTTAGTCCCTGTTCACTACAGAATTTCTGTTTTCACATGACAACCATCATATTAACAGATATTGCAAGGATGGCTTTATAAGGAGGATTTATGACACAAGCTCTGATTTTTCAAAAGAAGTAGAGGCAGTACTGATTTTTTTAAAGGTACGGTAGTCCAAAGGAGGTAAAGCAGAGAGACATAAGGTTCAAGAGAGGGATATAAGGGGCCAACCCCACGGCCAAGTGGTTAAGTTCGCGCGCTCCACTTCAGCGGCCCAGGGTTTCCCCAGTTTGGATCCTGGGCGCAGGCCATGCTGAGGCGGCATCCCACATGCCACAACTAGAGGGACCCACAACTAAAAATACACAACTATGTACCGGGGGGCTTTGGGAAGAAAAGAAAAAATAAAATCTTAAAAAAAAAAAAGAGAGAGGGATATGAGGTAAAATATAATAATGGAAAGAAATCGGTGGATTTGTTTGTTTGGGTTTTTTTTAAGTGAATATATGCACCTCAGGGTGTCTTCCCTGACGCCTCTGTGCTCTGGTAGCATCCTGAAAAATGACTAACATTTCGAGAGCACTTCTCCATGTCGGGCACTATGCAAAGTGTTTCACTCAGTTACTCTCTAGTATAAGTACTGTCATCATCCCAGTCTAGAGAAGACAGAACTGACGCTGAGAGGTGAAGTGATTTCCCTGAGATTCTACAGCTAGTAAGAGGTGGAGCAGGGGTTTGAGCCAAGACAGTGATTTCCAGGCTTTGAATTCTGTCCTTTACACGACCTCTAGCAAAGCACTTGGCACGATATTGCAATTGTCACTAGACTGTGAGCCCGTTGAGTGAGGCCTGGGTCTTAATCACCCGCAGTACCTGCCCACTGTAAGTGCTCAGAAAACGTTTGCTGAATGTCGAATGAATGGGCTGGTCAGTTTTATCACTTGTTTGTCCCAATGAAAGAAATTCCCAGAGCAGGAACATGCTCCATCCAGTTCTGCAGGGTGCTGTGCTAGAGTCCAGGGTTTTTCCCTTGGGTATTTCAGTGGCCCACTGTTGACCTGGGGAGACTGCCTCACTGGGCCAAGCAGCTCTACTGAAGGCTTATTCTCTTGTACGCAGCTGGAGAGAGAGAAGGGTTTGATGAACAGCTTCCAGGATGGGCTGGCCTACTCTGATTTCAAGACCATTACCGACCAGTTCCTAAGGGGTGTGGACACCAGGGGAGAATCCGAGGTCAAAGCTCAGAGCTTTAAGGCCGCTCTCGCGATAGACGTCATGGCCAAACTCACTGCCATCGACAACCACCCCATGAATAGGGTGCTGGGCTTTGGAACCAAGTACCTGAAAGAGAACTTCTCACCCTGGGTCCAGCAGCATGGTGGATGGGTAAGTGCATCCTATTGAAATATGAGTCTTCCCAGAACTCAGAAGAATGGGGTGGAAAGTTTTTTTTTTTTTTTTTTTAAGTGAAGGGAACACATCTGTGAAGCAGTTCTCATGGGTTTAGGACACTTAAGTGACAAGAGATTTATCCCATTGATGGGAACATATTTTTAGTGATTATCTTCATCATCAATAAATATTTACTGAGCTTCCAAAGGGCATGTAGGGTATGTGTGTGGGGAGAGAGGGACTGGTCAGCTGTAACAGGAAATGAAGAGATGTTGAGATATAAAATGTTTAGATAGATATAATTTCTGTTTTCACAAATTTTGCAGGCACTGGAAGTCTGGCAGTGAGACAAGGAGAGGCAGATACTTCCCCATCCTCTCAGATGCTGACAGGGTGTGGGGCTAACACTCATGCAGAGATTCAGTGTTCATGACACTTTGTCATTGCTGCTTGAACCCAGACATTTTGACAGGGACATTTCGATACAAACTAAAAAGCAAACAGTTAAATTTTCATCTGTTTTTAATTATCTGATATTAGGCAAAACAGACATCTTCACCCCTGTGCCTCAGCCTCAACCTCTCGCCCATCCTTTATCCCCATCCTTTGAGATTTCCTTAAAAGTGCTGTGTTCAAATGGCCTCATAAGGTCAACCTTGTCAAAACGCCTTACCCCAGGGCTTTAAATCTCAGCAAGGCTAGGGCATTTTTGTCTGTTCAAGTTGCTCCTCAGAAGACACACCTTTGCCCCTCATTATCCTTGGTCCTCTTTCCATTAGAGTGGTCCAGGGGCCAGCAACAAGTATGAGTCTGCTCTAGGCATGGCCAACATGACTCTGGGGCCTCCAAACAGGTTTAATCTCTTGGCTCCCAGAGGGAAAGTGCAGCTGATCTTCTGAAGTGCCCACCATGGTCTTCAGTGGCTGCCCATTGGGCTTACCCAGTCTTCTGTTCTTTCCTATTTTTCACTTTTGCACCAGATATGATGGCCCTTAAGTAGCTGATCTGAACAACTAGGGCTCTTAAGTATTCTAAATTTGAGCAGCCTTAACTTATGCTGAGGATGGATTCCACATCATTTCAGCGTCAATTGTTCTTCCGTCCACGACTCCCTCCGGTCCCTCCTCTGCCCCAGAGCCTTTCCTGACCACTCCAGCTCAAGGTCCTCGCCAGCCTCTGCCCTCTTACTAAACTTCACGGTTGCACCACAATCATATACAGGAAAACACCATCACTGTTGGGCCTCTTGATATTTTTTTCCAGAGAGATTATAAGCGCCAATTGGGTTCACAATGAGATATCATTTCATACCCATGGTATGACTAAAATAAAAAAGACAAGTGTCAGTGAAGATGTAGATAAATTTGAACCCTCATACACTTCTGGTTGGATTCTTTTTTTTTAATAATTTTTTTTAGTTTTAATTTTTGTTTTTATAGCAGTAACACTGGATTATAACATTATATAACTTTCAGATGTACATCATAATATATTTCAAATTCTGTGTAGATTACATCATGTTCACCACCCAAAGACTAATTACAATCCATCCCCGCACACATGTCCCTAATCACCCCCATTCCGCCCCCCCTCCCTCCCCCCTCCCCTCTGGTATGCTGGTTGGATTCTAAAAGGGTCCAGTCCCTTTGGAAAACAACTTGGAAGTTCCCCAAAATGTCAAACATAGAGTTACCAATTCCACTCTTAGGTATAAACCCCAGAAAATTGAAAACAAATGTCCACATAAAAACGTGTACATGAATGTTCATAGCAGCATTCATTATTCATAATAGCCAGAGTGGAAACAACCCAAATGTTCATCAATGATGACTGGAAAAACCAAATGTGGTATATCCACACAATGGAATATTATTCAGTCATAAAAGAGAATGACGTCCTGACAGATGGATGAACCTTGAAAACGTTATGCTAAATGAAAGAAGTCAGACAAAAGGACCATATATTGTATGATTTCATTTATATGAAATGTCCAGAATAGGCACATTCATAGAGACAGATTAGTGGTTTCCTGGGCTTTGGGGAAAGGGAATGGGTGAATGACTGCTAATGGATGAGGAGGTTTGTTTGTAGTGATGGAAATGTTCTAAAATCAGATAAAGGTGATGGTTGCATAATTCTATGAGTATGCTAAAAGCCATTGAATTATATACTTTAAAAGGATGAATTTTATGGTATATTTCAATAAATGTGTTATGACAAATAGCAGTTCTAATTCTAGTAAGCAAATAAAAAGAGGAAAGAAAAAAGACGATGAAAGTTTTTATTTACTTATTTTTTAATTTTGCTGCCGGTACCAGAGAGAAAATCTGTTCCAATCAGAGAAAATAGATTGTTTGGTAGAAATAATAAAGGGAATTTTCAAAGGCTTTAAAAGTTGATGGCACCAGTTCTTTATCATTTGTAGTTTCAATTCAGAATTTATTAGGTTACTTTTCCAGGTCATGATAAATCCTAATCTTAAGTCTTGGCCATAGTTAGGTTTAATTTGGAGCATGTAGCTGGAAATTGGGAGGAGGAAAAAGGAGAGAGAAAGGACTATTTTTTCCAAAGTGACAAAGAAAGAGTTGCAAAAAATAAAGAAGGATGTTGATAAAAGAATATTTAGGAGTTGATATGAGCTATGAAAGTGTGAAGGAGATGGGGATTGAGACCTGAGCTCAGTCTCCCTAAACAGGAAAGATGACATGAATGGCAAGCCTCCATGGCCTTCCATTGGCCCCAGGTATTTTGGTGGCTCTCTGGGGTGTCCTTGTAGCAGTGTGGAAGGAAGAAAACTATTCCCAGGCACAAGCTTTCCAGGAGTTCAGGGTTACTAACTATCTCAGTATTTAATCTTCCCAAGTGAACTGCAAATCTGGGAGGGCAGGATTACATATTTTATGCTCTTTTTACCTCTCATAATTCCCATTACACAGATGTTCAGCCAATACTTGTAGAATGAGTCAATCAATCAAATGAATGAATAGCAACTTTATCTACCAAGCATGCTGAATAAGCTACTATGAGATTTTAATTGATTCCTTGGCCCTTTTTCCTCACTGTAGAGCATGGTTCACATAGTTAGCCTGCAATCCTGCAACCTCACCCACTCTACAGCACTGTGAAAGGAGAGGTTTGCAACCTCCGTAGTCATTAACCTTGCAGTATCTACTCTTTTGAATTTTCAGTACAGAATCAAAGCCTTTTCCCATGGAGCCTGTTAGCCCTGGAAGTGCAACCTAAGTCCTTAGCTGACGTTTTCCTTTCAGGCATACCACAGATGCCAGTCACCTTTCCAAACCCTCCCCCAACCCAAACACAGTCTCCAAGCCTCAGGCCATGCCTGGGATAAGACAGCAGAGTTAACAGGCATATGTTTTCACTTCAACAGTGAATCAAACTTGGAATTTTAAGAATCTATTTCTCTTTTTCCTTTCTAGGAAAAAGTATTTGGGATATCACATGAAGAATTAGACTGAAACATCAGAAGATTTGTAATCTGGAATACTCATCGTCCAATTGTGGTCCTGTGTACATCAGTCTCAGCATAGACCAAGGGAGAAAATTAAAATGCACAAGGCAGATGGAGCATTGAAGTGTTCAAACACATTATTCCTGTGAGTCAGGAGGCATCAGGAGATGCCTTGTTCGTCTCCAGCTCATAGAATGTAGTAGCATGGTCCTTGACATCCATGTTTTTCAGGCCCTCCATTGAGTGTGTGAGGAAGTCTAGAAGGACAAGTGGCAATTTTCCTTTCAAATGTTCAGGACAGAAACCATCCTACTGCCCCTGCTAGCTGCTTTACAGAAAGTGTGTTACAGGTATTGGCTGATCTCATAAGGGCGAAATGACAAATCGTGCATGTGATTACTCTTTGGTTTCTGGTACTATTTATTTTTTAAACTACACTTGGGATGGCCTAATAATGACATTGTTTCAAGCTTGCCTCTAGGAAGATGTTGCTGTTCATGTTAGTAGACATAGCTCAAAGAGACTCTTGAATTTACTACTGTAGACACTAGTTTAGGGAGATACTGCCATATCTGCCTTTTTGACTCACTTCTCTGGGAAAATTCTTTGGCAGTTTGAAAAACATCCACTTGGGAAAAACAATTACTCCTACCACCCACAACTCTCTCAGTGACCCCACCTCTACTTCTCAAGGTCTCTGGGATTTTCTTTGTTATTTCTTGAGGTAGTGTAATAATTAGTACCTGGTAAAATAAATATGTGGAAAGACAACTTATGATGTGGAAAGAGAGAATGTTTACAAGAGAATGGTTAAAATAAGTAATAAGTAATAGTACTAAGATTTCTGTAAGGATCAGATGAGTTAATTCATCGAAAGTGCTTACAACAGTGGTTGGCATTTGGCGCTCAGGGTTCACTTACATTCACTATTAGGCACTGCCCTCAGCTCAGCTGAAAATTTCCTCTCCTCTCAAAGCAGTCACTGATTGTTTTTCTGAAATTGATACTGTTCAGAATGAGGTTTTCTAGTAAGTGAAATACGTTACATAGAAAATGTTTAAGACACACAACAATTTTAAAAAATACTGTCAAATTATAGAGTCTTACAAATTTCTGGATCCCTAGCATCCAGCATGAAACCTGATGAAAAATGGATGTTTAATAACCTCTGATGAAGGTTGATAAACCTTTGAATAAATGGATGAATTAATGAGACACACTTTCAGCTCTGAGGGAAAATTGGACTTATCTATGATCGCATGTTTCACTACCCTACCCATCTCAATTAAAATGAGTTATTCTCTTTTACTTTCTTCCCCCACACTGAAAGGCATAAATGTTGGGGATAAAGGAGTCTCTTTTTACGGATGGAGACCAGACCACCTCTTCTTCCACTTTGACCCAACCATTCCAAACTATTTGCATCCCCCAAATGTATTATGCAAACTTGCACCTCTGAGCCTTCATAACAGTATTTTCTCCCCTTGGATTGTTCTTGTCTTCTGCTCTTCTTCCCCTATTTCCACTAATGCAACTAACTCCAGCCCATTTTTTACAAATTTCCTCCTTCATTTTCTCCGGAAGCATTTGCTAACCCTCCCTTGGCCACCATGGGGCTACATTTGGATGCCTTTCCTCATAATGACGCTCCGTAACACTCTGTATATAGATATTATACTTAATACATAAGAATACCATAAGAACTAGTCTTTCACACTGGATTGTGAACTCTTTTGTAAACAAGCATTATGTCTAATTTAACTTGAACTTTGTAAACCTGATACCTGGCGTATTTTTAGTGTACAACTGTAGAGTCATACCCTCGCCTCACTGCTATACTCTGTAAATCAGTAAGACTGGAGTATGGCTCAAGTTGCATACTGTTTTAACAAGCTCTCCAAGTGTTCCAATATCATCTGTAGTTTCCAGCCAAGATGAAGTAATAGTGACTGAATTTAATCTTCTACTTAAAACAACTGAAAAAATGGATAAAATGTATGAAGAACAGTTTTCAAGATGTTGTGCATCAGGTAATAAAGGACTGGTCCCTGAGAGATGAGAAACAAAGTGAGCCCTGACTGCCCTGGAGTAGTGCAGGTAGTTTCCAGGCTGTGTTGGAAGGAGGAGAACTCATGCAGGTCTCAGCAGTCTCCCTGAAGAGAGAAGATAGAGCCCAGAAGTCCAGGAAGGCTAAGGCAGCTAAAGTTTGCAAGTCAAATAATGGAGAGAAGAGAATGGCACACAAAGCTCCAGAGGTCAGAAGACAGGTCCCCTCAAGTTTTCAGATGAATACTGATCAATACATGCATGTGAAGACATTACCGAAGGCTTGTGAAAGAACCACCTGAAAATATTAAGGGGAACATTTTCCAAAACTCACAATGGGCTGAGAGTAGTGCCTATTTCCACTAGTAAGAATGGAAAAATTTCAAAATTTGCATGGCAATAGGTAGAATACTCCAAAGAATTTTGCCTCAGTAGTGGGAAAAAAATTAGCTCTAGACTAAACATTCTTCTGATTCTGCCCAACAAAGATAAAGAGCAAGAACCAAAAGGATTAAACTGTTATCAAGTAACATAGGTATGTTCCAAAACAAAGCTCAAGAATCTTTATAGGATCACAAAAATATCCAACATCCAACAAGGTAACAGTCACAATGTCTGGCATCCAATCAAAAATTACAAGGCATGTAAAGAAGCAGGAAAATGAGACCCATAATGTGGAGAAAAATCAAGAAAAACCACCTCAGAAATGATACAGCCAATAGAATTACTAGACAAGCACATTAAAACTATTATAATTGTATTCCGTCTGCTCAATAAGCCAAAGGAAAGACTGAACAGGTCAAGTACACATAGAAATTATAAATATGACTCAAATCAAACTTCTAGAGAAGAAATCTATAATTCTGAGATGAAAAATACACTGAGATGTTGTAGAAGAATAGATAGGTAAACTTGAAGACAGAGAAATAGATCCAAAATATAACACAGAGAAATGAGACTGGGGAGAAAACAACAGAGCAACAGTGAATTGTGGGATGACTTTTACTGGCTTATTATGTGTAATTGGAGTGAAGATTTTCCAAATTTGATGACAATTATAAATTCACAGAACCAAGAAATTTAATGAACCCAAGCACAGAAAACATGTAGAAAATTACACTAAGCCACATCATAAATTGCTCAAAGCCAGTGATAAAGAAAAAAAATCTTAAAAGTAGCCAGAGAAAAAGGCATATTACATAGAGAGAAACAAAAAAATGAAAGAAAACCTTTCTTGGGAAACAACACAAGAAAGAAGAAAGTGGAGTAACACCTTTAAAGTATCAAAAGAAAAAAACCTTTCAACAAAGAATTCTATAACCAACAAAAAGATATTCAAAAAAGGAAGGGGAAATAAAGACTTTTTGAGATGTGCAAAAGCTAAAAGAATTCCTCACCAGCAGAATTGAGCTAGAAAAAATGTTAAAGGAAGTCCTTTAAGCAGAGAGAAAATCATAACAAATAGACCTACAGAAAAGAAAAAGCACTGGAAATGATAAATATGTGAGTAAATATAAAAGGCTCTTTTTTGTATTTAAATCTCTTTAAAAGATAATGGGCCATTTAAAGGAGAAATAATAACGTGTTGTGGTATTGTGGGGATTATAACAGGTAGAATAGAATGTATCAGAATAATAGTACAAAGGCTGAGAAGAGAGAGATGGAAGCATAATTAGAAGGTTCACTATATGTGAAGTGCATAATTTCAATTGAAAGTAGACTGTGGTAAAATGTATACTATAAATCTAAAAAACCACTAAAACATATACACACACACACATTCACACAAGATTACAACTAATTAGTCAACAAAGGTGATAAAATGGAATCATAAAAAATAGCCCCCCCCCAAAAAAAAAATGGAAAAGGAGAACAAAAGACAGACAAGATGGAAAGAAAGCAAATAGTAGGTTTGTATATTAAACCAGACCATACCAATAATCACAACAAATGAAAATGGTCCAAACATCCCAATTAAAAGGCAGAGATTACTGGATTAGATTAAAAAAAAAAAAAAAACCACACGGAGGCATATGCAGTCTACAAAAAACCACTTTAAATATAAAGACATGATTATGTTAAAAGTCAAAGGATAGAAAAAGAAAAACCATGATAACACTAATCAAAAGAAAGATGGAGTGACTATATTAATATCAGTCAAAGTAGGTTTCAGAGCAAAGATATTAATGCTAATTAACATTGTCACTTAATAATAATAAAAGAGTCAATTCATCAAGAGGACATAACAATTTTATTGTTTACGCATCTTCTGGTGTGTGTTTTTTTCCACCACCAAGAATTCTCCAACACTAGCTGGGTATCCTACAATTCAACTCAATTCTGACACTATCTGCCTGGGGATAGTGTCTGATGTCACAGGTTAAGGGTTCAGTCCCATGAGACTGGCTCCCCCTACACACTTCAGACACCAATTACAAGTCCAGATTGTCATCTGGGCTTCTGGCCGACAGGCTATAAATCAGAAGTTCCCAAGAGCCCTTCCTTGGGTGCAATTAATTTGCTAGAACAGCTCACAGAACTCAGAGAAATATTTTACTTACTAGATAAAAGGATATATCTCAGGAACAGCCAGATGGAAGAGCTGTATACGGCAAGGTATGGAGAAAAGGTCATGGAGCTTCCATGTCTTCTCTGAGCACGTCACTCTCGTAGCACCTCCATGTGTTCACCAACCCGAAGATCTTTGAACCCCACTCTTTTGGGGTTTTACAGAGGTTTCATTACAAGGCATGATTGATTAAATCATTGGCCAATGGCAATTGATTCATCCCCTGCCTGGAAGTTGGAGGAGGGGGTGTGGATTGAAAGTTCCATCCCTCTAATCACATGGTTGGTTCCCCTGGCAACAAGCCCCCATCCATAGGTTACCTAGGGGCTTTCCATAAGTAACCTCTTTAACATAACAAAAGACACTTTTACCATTCTCACCACTTAAGAAATTCCAAGGGTTTTAGGAGCTCTGTACCAGAAACAGGGACAAAGAACAAATATATATATTTCTTTTTATAAATCACAATATCACAATCTACACAGCTTCAAAATACACGAAGCAAAAAACTGATAGAATTGCAAAGAGCAATAGACAAATTCACAATTATAGTGGAAGATTTCAATACTTCTCTCTCAATAACTGATAGGACAAGTAGAGAGAAAATCAAGGATCCTGTAGACTTCAACACTACCAACCCACTTGACCCAAATGACATCATAGAGCATTACACCCAACAACAGTAGAAAACACACTCTTTTCAGGTGTGCACGAAACATTTACAAAGATAAACTATATTCTGGGCCATAAAACAAATCTCAATAAATTTAAAAGGATTCAAATTAGACAAAATATGTTTGCTAATCACAGTGGAATTAAATTATAAATCGTAAGAGAAAGTTATCTAGAAAATTCCTCAAATGTTTGGAAACTAAATAAACCATGTCTAAATCACTCGTGGGTCAAAGAAGAAATCTGAACTTAAAGAAAATGAAAGCACAGCACTAGAATTTATAAGAGGCATTAAAGTAGTACTCAGGGTGAAATTTATAGCACTAAACACCAATACTAAAAGGAACGGTCATTAATTGATGGCTTCAGCTTGTACCTCAAACTAGAAAAAGCAAATGCAGAGTAGGCATAAGAAAGGAAATAAAGGGAATCAAAGAAATAGAAAACAGAAAAATAATGAAAAATCATTGAAACCAAAAGATGGTTTGTTGAGCAGATCAATAAAACCTATAGCCTGACTGATTGGGAGAAAAGGCACCAATTACCAATAAAAGGAATGAGCGAGGTGGCATCACTATAGGACATACAGATATTAAAGTGATAACATTGGATATTATAACAGCTTTAAGCCAAAAACTTGACAACTTAGATGAAATGGACACATTTCTTGAAAGATAGAAACTACCAAAGCTCACTCAAGAAAGAATGTAAAATTTTACAATTCCAAAATGGAAAACATTTTGGCAATTTCTCAAAAAGTTAAACAAACATCTACCACATGACCCAATCATTTTACTTTTAGGAACTGACTCAAAGGAAATGAATTTGGTCCAAAACTTGTACCAAATCTAGTAACTTTATTTGTGAAAGCCCTAAAGGGAAAAGAACCCAAATACCCATCAACAGATGAATGGATAAACAAATTGTGGTACATCCATACAATAGAACACTATTCAATAAAAAAAAGGAATGAATTATTGGTATATGCTGTAACATGGATGAATCTCTAAGAGAAAGAAGCTAGACTAAAAAAAAATGGCACACGTATAAATTTATTTATACAAAATTCTAGAACATGCAAACTAATCTACTGTGACAGAAGGCAGGTCACTGGTTGCCTGGGAACAGGGAGGGATCAAAAGAAGGAATTTCAAAGAGGCATGAGTGTTTTGGGGTGATGGAACTGTTCATTACATTGTCTAATTATTTTGTGGGTATATATATCACAAAAATGAATCACTGTATACTTTAAATACATGCAGTTTATTGTATGTCCATTATACCTTAATAAAGCTGTTAAAAATTTTTTTAATGAAAACATTTTCAGACAATCAAAAGTAGAATTTGTCACGAGCAGACTAACAGTATAAGCTATACTAAAGGGGGCCGGTCCCATGGCCGAGTGGTTAAGTTCTCAAGCTCTGCTTCAGTGGCCCAGGGTTTCACCGGTTTGAATCCTGGGCGTGGACATGGCACCGCTCATCAGGCCATGCTGAGGCAGGATCCCACATGCCACAACTAGAAGAACCCACAACTGAAAATACACAACTATGTACCGGGGGGCTTTGGGGAGAAAAAGCAAAAACAAAAAATCTTTACAGAACAAAAAAAAGAGATATACCAAGGGAAATTTTTTAGTCTGAAGGAAAACTATACCAAACGGAAACTCAGATCTATACAAAGGAATGAAGAACACCAAAAAATAATAAGTATGTGGGTAAGTAAAAATATATTTCTTATCTCTAAATTTTTTAAAAAGAATTGACTGTTTAAAGCAAAAATAACAATGTATCATGACATTTATAACATGCAGAAGCAAAATATATGACAATAAAAACACAAGGGACTGGAGGAGGAAAAGGAAATAGACTGTTATAAGGTTCTCATACTATATGCAAAGTGGTGTCCTATTTCAAGGTAGATGACAGCAAGTTAAGGACACATACTGTAAATCATACAGCAATGACTACATATGAGCATAGCTAGTGAGTCAATAGTGGGCATAAAATGGAATACTAAAAGATACTCAATTCAGAAGAAGGCCAGAGAAGAAAAAAAAAGAACAGCTGGGACAAAAACAGCAAGATGGTAGAGAAACCCAATCATAGCAATAAATGCATTAAGTAGAAATGGCTAAACACTCCAATTAAAAGACAGAAATAGAATCAATAAAAATGACCCAACTACACTCTATGTAGCTTTTTTTTGGGGGGGAAGATTGGCCCTGAGCTAACATCTGTGCCCTTCTTCCTCTATTTTATATATGGGATGCCTGCCTCAGCATGGCTTGATGAGCGGTGCTAGGGATCCGAACCAGTGAACCCCAGACCGCCAAGGCAGAGTGCGCAAACTTAACTGCAGCACCACTGGACCAGCCCGGCAACTAAGCTCTGTTCTAAGTCTGAACAAGAAAGAGAGGTAGGTTAAAAGCAAAAGAATAAAAAATATATACAGAACTAATAAGAAAGTTGATATGGATATATTAATACCAGTCAAAGTAGACTCAGGTCAAGGAAAATAAGGACAAAGAGGGACATTACATAATGACAAAAGGGTGATTTATTAAGACCTAACAATCCTAAATTATGCAGAGTTCAAAATAAAGCAAAAACTGACAAAACTAAAAGGCAAAATAGATAAATCCACAATTACAGTTGGAGATTTCAACACTCTTCTCTCAGTAATTGATAGAAGCAGACAGAAAATCAGTAAGCATGCTGAGGGCTTGAACGATATTAACCAAACAGACCTAACTAACCTTTGTAGAAAACTGTTATCTAATAACTGCAGAATACTCAAGTGCCCATAAAACAGTCACCATTACAAGACCATAGTCTGGCCCATCAAACAATCTCAATAAATTTAAAAGGATTAAAATCATGATCATTAAAATCTATGATCATTACAGAATTAAATCTAAAAATAACAAAAAGATACCTGGAAAATTCATGAATATTTACAAATTAAACACATTTTTATGTAATCCATGGTTCAAAGAGAAAGTCACAAGTAAAACTGAAAAACGTTTTGAACTGAACGAAAATGAAAACACCAAAATTTGTGGGATGTAGCTAAATTGTGCTTAGAGGAAAATGTATGGCTTTAAATGCTTCTATCACAGAAAACAAAGGTCTAAAATCAGTGACTTACGCCTCCACCTTAAGCAGCTAGCAAATTTAACCAAAATAAGTAAAAGGAAGGAAATAATGAGTAGACAGCAATGAAATTGAATATGGACATACAATAGAGAAAAATAAATTAGAACAAGAGCTGATTTTTTTAAAAAATCAATAATATCGATACAACTTCAGTTTGACTGACCAATATAAGACATAAATTACCAATGTCAGAAATAAAAATAGGCATTAAAAGGATAAGGGACATACTTTATGTCAATAAATTGACAACTTAAATGAACAAATTTCTTGAAACACATAAATGATGAAAATGGACATAACAATGGAAAATATGAATAGCCCTCAATCTAAACTGAGTTCTCACTTAAAAACTTTACTGTGGGGGCCAGCCTGGTGGTGCAGCGGTTAAGTGCACACGTTCTGCTTCGGTGGCCAAGAGTTCGCCCATTCGGATCCTGGGTGCAGACATGGCATCGCTTGGCAAGCCATGCTGTGGTAGGTGTCCCACGTATACAGTAGAGGAAGATGGGCACGGATGTTAGCTCAGGGCCAGTCTTCCTCAGCAAAAAAGAAGAGGATTGGCAGATGTTAGCTCAGGGCTAGTCTTCCTCAAAAAACTTTACTGTGATATATATACATCTGCCCCTAAGACTCACAGCACTGCACAGAACTTGAGGTCCTGAACTTTTCCTTCCCATGGAACCCCAGGAAAAAAGGACTCAA